AAGCCGTTCGTGAAGCTCTGATCGCAGAGGTCGAATGTGTGAGAGAATCGTGTGATGGTAGAAAAATGGCGAAGCATATTGTCAGACTGTTTCCCAATCAGTAAGACCAGGAAAACGCGAGATGCTTTGCCAGAATGAAGCTGGAATACTTGACGACTTCTTGAGCAATCTTGCAAAGTGGTTGTGCACGAGACCCTGCCGCATACTGTTTCCATTATTCAGCGAACGACGAGACTGGAAATGTAATGAAACGAGTCTTTTTATAGGACTATTGATAACTGTTTACTAGTCATACGTAATTAGGAATATTAAAGTATCTTCGGTATTTAATTACGCTCTTCAGATGTTTCTTATTACGGTTTTATTCTGGATTGGTTTTATTGTGAATTGTATTGGCGTATTTTTATTGGTGGGGGTTTTGTCTGAGGATCTGGTACTGATAGGTTTATTGGGCGGGTAACGTGGCGGGGAATTTTAGAGGCTTGGGGAATTGGGGAGGTTCTGGGATTTGGGAGAAGGGGAGATTTAGAGGTTGGGGAGGTGAAAGGGAGGCTGAGATTTTGGGGGTTGGAGGTGGATTGAGAATTTGGGGTTTTAGGAATTGGGGAGTTTAGGTTTGGGATGTGGAGGTTTTGGGATTTGGAAATTGGGGAGGAAGGAATGGGGAGATTGAGAATTTGGGGATTTAGAAATTGGGGTTTGGAAGTTGGAATTTTGCAAATTAGGGTATTTGGAAGTTAGAGATTTGGGAATTACGGATTTCAAAGTTGGAGATTTGGAAATGGGGGATCTAGGTATTATAATATTTAGATATTGGGAATTTGGAAATTGGAGTTTTGCAAATTAAGGATTTGGAAGTGGATAATATGGGTATTGGGATCTTAGGTGTTTGAAATTTTGAAATTGAAGAATTTGTACAAGGGACATATAGTAATAGTGATGTGCAAATTGGAAGATTGACGAGTTAGATCTTTAAAAACTGTCTAATTTAGAATTGTAACGTAGAAACTAAATATTTGCGATTCATACAATTTGATAATTGTGTACATGCAAAATTGGAAAATTAAAAAATATAAACTTCAAAAATTTACAATTGAAATAAACTTCCTCGCATTAACCTTTGCACTCCCATGTCCAGTCTACCTCGAAATATCTCTTGATCTTATATTTTCATTTCTTTACTACTAACAGAAAATGCAAAACCTGTTAGTCACATGCTGCTCATTGTTCCAATTTTATCGTGAACCTCTCCATATATTTCATAAACTAAGAAGTTTGTAGATAAAATAAATTGAGGAACACAAAATGGTCTTCCACCTGTCCACACTCTGTCAGAGTATCAATCTTACCCACGTCACAATCAGATAACGAAGTAACCATCCAAACAGTAAAATAATCTCCCAGTGAATTAACGGAAATCCTATTTTATCAGGAAGCCTGCACCACGTTAATCACGGCGACGGGTTTCGCCCGGTAATCGCCTCTCATTTATTTAGTAACCGTTAAAGCAAAACGACCAAAGTGCGTCTGGTATGAACGAGACTCCGTATGAGCCTCGATCGAGGAATCCGTGTCGATTGAAAACGAGGGAAAAACTTGTCACTAGCTATCTGCCTATGTAAACGAACACCGGTACTCGGTGATCTCGGGTCAAAGGTGAGCCCCGATGAATACCTCCATTACGGTCCGGGTAATGACTTCTTTTCCTCGAGCTCGACGCTGAAGTAAACTTAGAGCCTGGTCATTCAGCCAAAAAGAGACCGGATACTCTTTTGTGAATCACGAGCGATGCACGCAGGTAACGAATCGAAGCGGCCGTAGGGCGATGACCCAGATCGTCGTAAATATTCCGTGACTGGAAACTGCCTAACTTATTCCGTGACAGGTAACGAAGAGCAGGTTAATTATTTCGACGACGCTTTATAGGATGGGTGTCTGCCGACAGCTTGCGCCGTTCGAAGTTTCCGGGTGTAAATCGTGGAGTGGATATGTAGATGCACATAGACCAGAAGTTTTGATCTTTTGGGAAATTCGGGAACTTGGTTGAAAGCTTCATAATGGAACTGTATTTGGGAGTTACGGTAATCTGTTTGGTGATGGAGGGAAACAACGAGGGACAAATAATTGTTCTTTATGTTTCATTGAGTTTGCTTATTAATTAGGGTAGAGTTGGAAATTTTTTATTTGGGAATTTAGGAATTTTTTTATTTGGAGATTTTTGGATTTGGGAATTTTGGGATTTGGAATTTTGGGGTTTGGAATTTTGGGGTTTGGAAATTTGGGATTTGGAAATTTGGGATTTGGAATTTTGGGATTTGGAATTTTGGGATTTGGAATTTTGGGATTTGGAATTTTGGGATTTGGAATTTTGGGATTTGGGAATTTTGGGATTTGGGAATTTTGGGATTTGGGAATTTTGGGATTTGGGAATTTTGGGATTTGGGAATTTTGGGATTTGGGAATTTTGGGATTTGGGAATTTTGGGATTTGGGAATTTTGGGATTTGGGAATTTTGGGATTTGGGAATTTTGGGATTTGGGAATTTTGGGATTTGGGAATTTTGGGATTTGGGAATTTTGGGATTTGGAGATTTTGGAATTTGGGAATTTTGGGATTTGGAAATTTGGTATTTGGAAATTTGGGATTTGGAATTTTGGAATTTTGAATTTTGGGATTTTGGAATTTTGGGATTTGGGAATTTTGGG